TTTCCCCCCCCCCCCCCCCTTCCCTCTCCATTTGTTGAAAAGGACACCAAGCAAGAGTGTGCTTGCAGGGTCGGAGAGCTTCGATGACTCAGAGCTACAAAGCACCACTGTGTTACTCAGACCTTGAAAAAACACACACACAGGTGCTTCTGAAGGGGGAACCAGCAGCATTCAGATTCCTGTCCTCGGGCTTAAGGAAATATTTATTCTTGGTGCCGTTGAGCAATCGGATGGCAGCAGAAGCTGTGTGTCATGGATGCTAAAATTACTTTCTCGCTCAGATGAATATTCAGACAGACATTTCAGAGAAGATAGAGTTGCACGGGCCTCTTTCCTTTAGAAGAAAAAATCTGGAAGAACAAGCTCGGGGGTTTCCGCAGTCTTTTTCCCATGTCACTTCTGAACAAGAAGCTCAGGCCTCAATGAGAATTGCTCATTAGCGATAATGTTAGTTTTGCAAAAATTGAGATATAAAGGGACACGTCAGGGGGTAATTGTCTTAAGATGACACCTTCTTGCTCAGTGCAGTTGTTTCTGGAGAGTATTCAAGTTGTCTGTCATCATTTCACTGAGCAAAGCACATTTTTTTCTCCATTTAGAACCAAAAGCACCTATGGGAGAGCCAACCGTGGTGTGTCCTGCTTTGCACAACACTTGTTCTTTGCACTTCAGAGACCGAGTTTATTCACACCGCTTGCTTTTGAGGTCCTTAGTCTTGCCTGCTGTGTGGCTTTGGGGCTTTATTTGCCTTCATCAAGAGGACTGAGCTTTGATCAACATTTCCTGATCTGAAGTAGCTCCTGTAAGTGCAGCACCCTGGCACCCAGCTAGGATGTCCTCTGCAGTCCTCTGTGGCTTTTTCTCCTTCAAGTATGAGTCAATCCCTCTCCTCTCACACCGACCGTGTGCCCAGAGCCCTCCTCCAACTTCTCAACCTGATTTGGGTCCGCAGTATCACTAGGCAAAAAAACCCAGATTGCTTTAGTTCGTTGCCAGTTTCAGAGGTTTGCCTGACAAATTATTTAAGGATAAAAATAGAATCTGTCTC